CAATAATTAATGACACGGGCTCTCGCAAATATTTGACGACTCCTCTGGGACGTGATATCCTCCGCAGCGGTGACCACTCAAGTCCTATGTCATAATATATATTTATATGGTATACTATAGATACAGAGGTTCTTGCGTGGGTTTCCATTTCCGGGCCATCCCCACGCGCGTTCCAGCAAGGTACCAGAGTCGCGGTTGATACCAACTCAGTTTCCAAGACTCCACCCCGTTGGTCGAATCGGATCCCTTGTCAAATTTACTGTCATATCACATTCATCCGTGAGCCGAATTGGTTCACTCAAATAAAATATTACTTTTCACAATGTAAAATATTGTATTATATCTTAGTATAAACAAATAGTTTTAAACTTTTATTAAGATAGGAAATTCATATTTTCGAATCATGTTTCAGGCTAACCTACTCCAGAACTTGAATTTCAAAACAGCTTTATACAATTCCATAGCATTGGAGTGGCTAAATATTTGAATTTGAGGTTATAGATACAATTTATGTCATTCATAGTAGAGAAAATAAAACAGATTGACCTCTCCACAAAATTCAGAGAAAACGATTCTGATAGGTATTGGATAACTCAGCACGGATCTAGCCATCTACATAAACGGGTTAGGGGGGGAGGGGCTGATTATAAATATTTATAGGTACATAATATTTACAATTTACCTTCTGGTAAATACAAGTATATAATATAATATATATATATATATATATACATAATATAATATAATAAATTTAAATAAATTATAAGTAATACATTTTAATACAACCAATGGGAGCGGGGGCAGCGGCCACTACCGCCCCCCACTGAATCCGCGCATGGGATAGCTTCTGAAACTATCTTTTGGATAGAAATGTGCAATATCTGAAATCTAAACAGTAACCAATAATATTCAGATTATCTTTTAAAATACTTAATTCCTATCTTCCGGAAGCGTGTTTCACGTAATGTACACTAGTTTAAAATGTTATAATATTACACATGCGCCTACCTATTCCTAAAAAACAGATCCATAAAATTTTTGTCAACAGTTCACCCAAAACATATTATGTTCATTTTAAATTATTGTTAAAACGATATTTTAATTATTTTCAATTTTATTCTATATAAATTTATATTGTTTGTCTTTTTTACTATCACATAAAACATTTATTTTTTTGCTTTTGGAATGGGGGAGAGAGAGAGAAATAAATAGGTAGAATTTTATAGGGTATTTTTACCGTGTTTAAGCATGTGTATTAAACACTGTTTACATGCATACATTCCCATGGGGGTAAAAGTGTGCAAACCGTTGAAAAAAATTACAATGATATACCGTTGCGGCGTTGCATTACAATATTATAATATATTATCGTTGTTATTGAGTTTCAGTAAATACTCTTCTCTAATTCTAATTACTGTTATACATAACACCCATACCGTGATTAATTATTATTAATCGGTTATTGTAATTGTATTTCAAACTATTGAGGTAATCGGGTTATATGTGTAATTTTTGGTTTACTTTGATTGGAAAAAGTTTTCAAGTAAAATGTATATTAAAAAGATATAAAATGTCAATGAATCTTCAAAAAAAATAAATTACAAACAAAACGTATGTCACCCAAAATAATATATTTGAATAATATACTAATTTCACGACTTCTTTATTAAGTTGCGTTTTTTAAAAACAAAAAAAAAATATTTTTATATTTTAGCTTCTTTCATTTACATAAACAATAATATATTTTTCAATTTAGTTAGTTGAAAAATTTGAGCTAAAACTTTTTAATATTTATTTGGCTATTAACTTGTGTTCCCGAAACAGTACATCACAATACAATTATTATTCAAAATTAATAACGACTAAGTAATTTACATTATATTCAATAATAATCATTATTACATTTTACACTAAGCACGTTATATCATAAAATATAGACATACCGGCTTTCTCTGTGACCACAAATTATTTTATAATTAAAGCAAGATTAATTATTATGAAACAAATTATAATAGTACGTTAATGAAAACTCTTTTGAACACGGACTTCGAATTATGCAATTTTCCTTTTCAGCGTGTATATATAATTATTAGAGGAAGATTATTGACTTATCGCTCATTAAGCTTATGGATAAACGGTCGAGCTTTAATTCTTTACATTTATTCGGGAGAGAATTATATAAGTTGTGAAAAAAAACGTATAGTCTACACTATTGTATGGTCCTTAATCCACCCTGCAGGATCATATTACATGAACGTGTATAATTCTTTGCCTCCACTATATCTTCACCAACAACTCCGCCTCCACCACGACCATCCACCACCTCCACCACCGCCAACCATCTATATCCCGACAAATTGGTAGCGTTAAATACGGTTGTATGTTGGTTGGGGCAGGGGGCGCCGCCGTGTCTACCTTTTGCTTGTACCCAGAGCCAGTGGAGCTCGCACGAGAATCCTTTCTTTATCGTCGTGTTAATTTGGGTGCTTAAAGGAGGTACACGCTTATAAAATATTATATTATTATTATTATATTGTATTTTGTGTGCGTTCATTGTACGCCATTGTATCGGCAATGCACCGTTATAATCGTGTTTCGGTTCGTGTTTTAATAACAGCCGGCACTTAATCCGTATTAACGAAGGTCGACGATGTTTTTCGATTGTCTTCGAACAATTCGTTAACAGAATAGCAGTTGATATTCGCTCACTCAGAGAGGTAATGGGGGGGGGGGGGGGAGAGTATTCCGCTCGCTCACACAAACCTACGTACTCCTCGACGAAAAAAATTCACAATAGTCGTCGGTGGACCTATTTATAATAAGTGCCTATTATAAATGCGGGTGTTGCGGGGAACGTATATGCAAATGCCCAAATACATTTGTAAATGTTTAAATGATTTCTTTTTATATTGGGCGTTTCATGGAAAAATGCCTAAGGAGTATAATATAATACAGCGGACAGTTTATATTTGATAAAGTTTACAATTTTTACCGTGTTTCTATGAAAATAGAACTCTGCACTATTTATAATATATAAATATACTTTATTGTGATGGAATTCCCATTTTTAATAAAACAAGATGGAAAAAAATCGATAACACAACATTTTCTATTATAATATTGTTTTTAAAAATACGAGTCTTCTTATATAATTTCTTATTAATAACTTCATATGCTTGTTTAACGATACAAATTTGATCTAGTTGACATTTTTACTGTAGATACACAGAGAGATATTAAAAATTTAGAAATGATGAGTTTTGAAGAAAAAAACAACTAATTTTGTTACTGTTGAAAAATCCACTGTTTTTGAAGTTTCTAATAGTTCATCTGTTGCACTGCAAAACTGAAAATCTTTTGGAAAATAAATTCAAGAAAAATAGACGGGGAGCTAAGCCACAGTTGATTTTTAGAATTTGGTAAATACCTAATTTAGTGCTACTAAAATATGTAATTTTAATTTCCTGTCGTTAAATTACGGTCTCGCATTTATATGTCGTACCTAGCCACTTCGTGATATCGATCTTTTCATGAAATGGAAACGGATATTTTACACTTCTTGAAATTCGAAAATATTTCACAAAATGGTCTCTTTTTCATAAAATTATCACTCCAATCAACATCTTGTAATTTATTTCACAATCTGGTCGTTCACTTTGTGTACTGGAATACAAAATTCATTGCACACGTCAAGTTTGATAACCTATATCCGTTATTATTTATTTAATGTACTAACAAATTATACTTATTTATGACTTCTACAATACCATAGGTATAGATTATATTATAAAGTTAAATTAATATTATTACCTATACATATAGTATATATTTTTAATTTTATAACTATTTATATCATATTAATATATTGTTCATATTATAATTATTTTTTTATTTATTGGAACATTTATTAGAACACAAATTAAATAATTATAGTTCTTGAATAAGGAATAACATAATATTATGATAGGTACACTAAACACTTGTTATTAGATTAAGGACAATAATAAATTAATGCAATAACTAATCGGATTTTGAAATAATTTTTAAAAAAGTTACGTTGCTTGTAACTCTTAACTTTTTGAATAAAAAAAGTGTAGTAATGTGATAAAAATAATGTTGGGTTACGTGAATGTAATTTAAATAAAAATATTTATCGACTCAATTGATCAGTCATCAGTGTAGTGTTATGGTTTTTTACCAGGCTTATAAAAATAATATTTATCCATTTTTTGGTAAAACTCAGTTTTTTCATTCAATTTGTCCATTACGTAGAGGCATATAGAATAAAAACCTTTAGAATAGAATTTGATCGAATGATCCGCACAGCAACTATACACTGCTTTAACATCAAGGTAATACCAACATTCTGATATGATATTATTATTATGACTTTTATCAAAACCAATAAATATCATTTACACATTTTAGATAGTCCAACATTTAGGCAGGTATAATAGTCATGTGGAATACAGATTATATTAATTATTTTATTTAACGTCGGCACGTGGTTAATAGATTTAATCAAACTATAGACGTAGGTATGCGACAGATGTTGTATTTCAGTACACAAAGTGAACGACCAGATTGTGAAAAAAATGACAAGATGTTAAATTGGAGTGACCACTTCATGAAAAAGTGACCATTTTGTGAAATATTTTCGAATTTCACGAAGTGTAAAATATCCGTTTCTATTTCATGAAATGGTCATCTTTTCATGAAAAGTTCGATTTCCCGAAGTGGCTACGACATGTATATAGAACGCCTACAATTTAATTTCCAAGGGGATATATTATTATACGATTCAACGCTTGTGGAGTTGATGGATTGATCACAACAAGACTCCCCATTGATTATCTCTAGTTCATCCAATGCTCCCTTTCATGTGAGTCAAGTGAGAACCTATTTTCATGACTGCTGTATACTATATTACTATTATTATGTTTTTCTCGAGTCGTAAATTATGATAATGCGATAGGTACCTAAGTATTTTAACATGCATTTTACTGACCATGTATGGTAACGGTGTTGTGCGACAATACGTCGTCGTCAGCCGCTCGCTGTTGCTCAGTCACTGGTATCTGACGCAAGAGTCGTAATGTCACGTCTTTGGGACTGCACGCTGGATTCCAGCTAACCAGTACCGCGGTTCTCTGACCAGGGACGGCCACTTTGGGTGCCACCACGTTGAATGTCCTGTAAAACAAGTGAAACGTTAACATATCGCTTTACAATAGGTATGTCTATTAATATTTATGCATATTATATTATTATAGATCATTATTTTGTATAATATAATAATATAGGGGAGAAGCATAGTGAATAAATATCTATTATAAATTGTTATTTCATTATTATTTTTTTTTTATACAACCAGCAGATTGATTTACAATAGTAAATTTCTCTAGAATCCAGCTGACTTCTGTGGTAGTGGGTTTTTACGGATGAGTAAGTGCAATGGTTTACCGAGATTTAACCAGTTATTAAAGTTATGATAATAATACTCAAGAAAAAAGGGTCATTGTGCACTAGACTATGAAAATATCGGTTGTATAAATTATGTAGCAGATCTTAATCGATATATCGCTACAATTTATGTCTTAAAGTTTCTATATCGTTTTACTAAGACAAACTCGTTGTATATGATTTACGTTCTAAACTATATAGTGGTATTTTATGGTAATAATAATCTCTTAAACAATATACTATACATATTTATGGATGTAAATATTTTAAATACTGTAACGCCATTAAAAATATTTGTCTTTTCTCATCTTGTTACGGAACAAACACCCACCAAGTAAAAACGATTGAAAAAAAGGACACGATATGACGAGTGAAAATCACACATGATAGATAGGAATGTCCGTTCAACGGTGTGATTTTCACTCGTCTAAAACATATTACGCGAACCAATCAACGATGGACTAGATTGTCGAAAAGGGTATAAATACCGGACACTCTCGACAATCTAGTCAGTCCACTTCAATCCTTCAAACTATCAACATCTCCAAGAAACGTTCCGATAGCAAGAAGACCAGGACCAGAAATCGACCGCCGAAGACCGACGACAACGCCGCTCCACGGCTACCAGCGCCATTCGACCGCAGACCACCGACGTTCTCGCCGTTCCCGATTGCGTACATCATCATACCGACGCTTATCGACAACGACGCCGCCCCACGGCTACCAGCGCTATTCGACCGCAGACCACCGACGTTCTCGCCGTTCCCGATTGCGTATATCATCATACCGACGCATATCGACAACGACGCCGCTCCACGGCTACCAGCGCCATTCGACCGCAGACCACCGACGTTCTCGCCGTTCCCGATTGCGTACATCATCATACCGACGCATATCGACAACGACGCCGCCCCACGGCTACCAGCGCTATTCGACCGCAGACCACCGACGTTCTCGCCGTTCCCGATTGCGTATATCATCATACCGACGCATATCGACAACGACGCCGCTCCACGGCTACCAGCGCCATTCGACCGCAGACCACCGACGTTCCCGCCGTTCCCGATTGCGTATATCATCATACCGACGCATATCGACAACGACGCCGCTCCACGGCTGTAAACGTCATTCAACTGCCGAACAATAACGACCCGTCGACCACCTATCTACGGGCGCAAAGATCGGTCGATCAACAACGCCATCATCGTCAGAACCAACCGACCCCGTGACTGCCGCTCAACGGGGAGAGACCAGTGTCAGTGTACTCTTGCCGTGACGAGGCCGCCCGACCGCCACTCAACCACCCAAGCCTACGGGATCACCGGATAGGCCGACCACTCACGGCGTGACAACATTAAATGGCCCTTTTCAGGGCCACCACGACCTTAACCTCGGCACTTAATTAAGTTGTCCGACCCAAGTCTGGTTCGTCGTCGGGGTGCCGCTTGACTTAAGTCTGCACCGACGACGGCCGGCTTCATAGCCGATCATATTGTATAACTTATATAAATCATTATAAAAACACTTGTGAAGATAGGGTCCGACAATTGTCCGACCACAATACCCAAGCGCCTCCGATTGTGCCGACTCACTTATTTAAGTCCGGTCGGCACAAATCGACGCTTTACTTGTCCCAATATTGTAAATATAAATTATAATTTAACCTAGCAATAGAACAACTTGATTATCGAGCACACAATTGTTATTTTATTTACGACACGGGTCGTCCAATCGGACGCACCGTTTCAACTGGCGCCCAACCAGTGGCAAGAAGGCCACGACTCCGAGATTCCACCGACAAAATGGTGAAGAATACGCAGGCAGATCGGATCCAGCAACTGGAAGACATGATGCAACTGCTACAGGAGAAAGTAAATACTCAGAACACCGCACTTGAAAACCTAACTAGGGAGTTACGAGACGCTACGGATATAATTAAACAACTAATCAATGACACGGATACAAAAATAACGATCGAAGCAGCAAGACGTGAGAGGGACATCCAATTGGTAAAAACAGCGAGTCAAGACAACGCAAGTACAAGGGCAAGCAACATCGAACTAACAATGCCAACTTTCAGTGGCGAACCGAGCGAGCACCCGAAACAATTCTTGAAAAACCTGAACTCGTACTTATTGCACAAACACATCACCCAAGTTGATCGAATAATTACAATCGAAAATTGCATGAGAGGAAAAGCTGCAAAATGGTTCACCATGATCAAAGACGTGGTACCGAACGAAGATACGTTTAAGACACTGTTTTTGAAACACTTCTTTTCGGAAGACCGTCAATGGGACACATTTATAAAGTGCACGGAAGCAGGAAAAAAACCAATAAACAATAATTTCCAGGAACATTTCAATTATTGGATGACAGAGCTTAAGCATCTGGACTCTCCAAAAATGGACGAATTACAAGCCATTAACCTAATAACAAAGCATTTCCCTATAGCCATTCAGGCTTACATACAGACAACGCAAGAGAAAAAGTTCCTTAATATATGGGAAAAGTTGGGAGAATTAGAAAATAGTTATAACAAACAGAACAGTACCGATCAGCAAATGACAACTAATAAACAACCATTCACTAGTCGGTACGGTAACACGAATGGCAATAATTCGCAGCAAGTCAGGGACCGATATGCACATACGGGGTCTATACAACAAAATAGCACTCAACAATCAGGTCTGCGACAATCAGCTCATGGGACAAGTGGACAAACACAGTATACATCAGCGCAAGATACAAAAACAATCAGATGCCTCGTAACACACGATGACACAAATGACGAGTCAGCCAATGAGGAGGGAGAGGCAAACATTATCGACGACGATACAAAAAACTTATACGGGGAGGCTATGGTGATGGAAGACCAATAGCTACGGATCCCGTCATTTCCGAAAAACACATAAAACGAATATCATATGTCAAGCAAAACATAAGACTACAACCGCACAAAAAAAAAAGTAATTTAACGTCCAGGATCACTGCAAGTGAACTAACGAAAAATGAAAAATATGAGATCCCATCGAACAATGAAAATAATGGTTGCCCGTATATACACAAATACGAAGTCGGACAACAGATACTTATAAAAAACCACCAACAGTCAAATGCAGAACACGGGGAAGTAAGGAAACTGTTCAACCTTTTCAACGGGCCGTACGAGGTAGTAGAAATAATAAGCCAGAATACATTAGTAATACGAGACCCGACAACGGACAAACAACAGCTGACAAACATCTCTGAAATTCGTCCGTATTACAGACCAAACAATTGCCAACAATAAATATCATGTATAGGATTGGTCAGTCGGATGGACCAATCAAAACGCACACAACGGCACGAAACAAAATATATAAATCAGCAAAGTCACAATCAAATCATCATTCATTAAGTTAATACAGCTGCATACAAAGCGGCACACACACGCACACATTTGTTCCGCACGAATGAAAATTTGTGCTGAGTGATTCCCACCCCAGCACAAATCTGGGGGGGGTATTGTTACGGAACAAACACCCACCAAGTAAAAACGATTGAAAAAAAGGACACGATATGACGAGTGAAAATCACACATGATAGATAGGAATGTCCGTTCAACGGTGTGATTTTCACTCGTCTAAAACATATTACGCGAACCAATCAACGATGGACTAGATTGTCGAAAAGGGTATAAATACCGGACACTCTCGACAATCTAGTCAGTCCACTTCAATCCTTCAAACTATCAACATCTCCAAGAAACGTTCCGATAGCAAGAAGCCAAGAAGACCAGGACCAGAAATCGACCGCCGAAGACCGACGACAACGCCGCTCCACGGCTACCAGCGCCATTCGACCGCAGACCACCGACGTTCTCGCCGTTCCCGATTGCGTATATCATCATACCGACGCATATCGACAACGACGCCGCTCCACGGCTGTAAACGTCATTCAACTGCCGAACAATAACGACCCGTCGACCACCTATCTACGGGCGCAAAGATCGGTCGATCAACAACGCCATCATCGTCAGAACCAACCGACCCCGTGACTGCCGCTCAACGGGGAGAGACCAGTGTCAGTGTACTCTTGCCGTGACGAGGCCGCCCGACCGCCACTCAACCACCCAAGCCTACGGGATCACCGGATAGGCCGACCACTCACGGCGTGACAACATTAAATGGCCCTTTTCAGGGCCACCACGACCTTAACCTCGGCACTTAATTAAGTTGTCCGACCCAAGTCTGGTTCGTCGTCGGGGTGCCGCTTGACTTAAGTCTGCACCGACGACGGCCGGCTTCATAGCCGATCATATTGTATAACTTATATAAATCATTATAAAAACACTTGTGAAGATAGGGTCCGACAATTGTCCGACCACAATACCCAAGCGCCTCCGATTGTGCCGACTCACTTATTTAAGTCCGGTCGGCACAAATCGACGCTTTACTTGTCCCAATATTGTAAATATAAATTATAATTTAACCTAGCAATAGAACAACTTGATTATCGAGCACACAATTGTTATTTTATTTACGACACGGGTCGTCCAATCGGACGCACCGTTTCAATGAAGATAATACAATTTTAGATAGTTTATCAAGTCGATACGTTTGCAGAGTACGGATAGTGTATAATACGTGTATGAAAAAAGTATCTCTCAAAATAGTTAAATTTTAATTGGAATAGGTCATTGAAATACTTTATTCATGTTTTTATTAATTTTAATCTATTCGATGAGAAGTGTATACATAATTTTACATTTACA